GGTAGGCTATCGACCAGAGGGGCCAGATTCACGAAGCAGTTACGCAAGCACTTACGAACCTGGGGGCCAGATTCACGAAGCAGTTACGCAAGCACTTATGAACCTGGGGGCCAGATTCACGAAGCAGTTACGCAAGCACTTACGAACCTGGGGCCAGATTCACGAAGCAGTTACGCAAGCACTTACGAACCTGGGGCCAGATTCACGAAGCAGTTACGCAAGCACTTACGAACCTGGGGCCAGATTCACGAAGCAGTTACGCAAGCACTTATGAACCTGGGGGCCAGATTCACGAAGCAGTTACGCAAGCACTTACGAACCTGGGGCCAGATTCACCAAGCAGTTACACAAGCACTTACGAACCTGGGGCCAGATTCACCAAGCAGTTACGCAAGCACTGACGAATCTGTACATCTTTTCTCAATCTTTGGCGGCTTTGTTTACAATTATTAAACAGTTAATGAGCTCCGAAGCACCAGGAGGCTGTTTATAACAATAACAACAGTTGATTGGCAAGTTTTAATGCGCACCATCTTCGCGGTGCGGAAAGAAACTTCCCTTACTTAAACATAAGGTTAAAGTTTATACTTATAAGACGCAAGTGATATCCTTATAAGTAATTCCGGAGGTCAGACTGCCACATACACTGAGAGACTTCTAGCTGCTACCTCACATTGAGAAACATTGCCTCAGGGTACCTCACAGTGAGAGACATTGCCTCAGGGTACCTCATAGTGAGAGACATTGCCTCAGGGTACCTCATAGTGAGAGACATGCCCTCAGGGTACCTCATAGTGAGAGACATTGCCTCAGGGTACCTCATAGTGAGAGGAGATTGCCTCAGGGTACCTCATAGTGAGAGACATTGCCTCAGGGTACCTCATAGTGAGAGACATTGCCTCAGGGTACCTCATAGTGAGAGACATTGCCTCAGGGTACCTCATAGTGAGAGACATTGCCTCAGGGTACCTCACAGTGAGAGACATTGCCTCAGGGTACCTCATAGTGAGAGACATGTGTCTCAGGGTACCTCATAGTGAGAGACATTGCCTCAGGGTACCTCATAGTGAGAGACATTGCCTCAGGGTACCTCATAGTGAGAGACATTGCCTCAGGGTACCTCATAGTGAGAGACATTGCCTCAGGGTACCTCATAGTGAGAGACATGTGTCTCACTAATAATCTGCACAATTCTCAACTGCTCACGGCTCGCCTGTGCATCTGGAAGCAAATACATCTGCCGAGGAAATTACAGACCCGGCACACAGCAAGGGAACTCAATTATGTACAAGCTCGAGGCAGGAGGAGCAACAGTTGTAACTGCCAAGGAAGAAACTTGCCCTTAGAACGCACAACAGGCTTCGTTCTGAGCCTGTTGGGCAATCTCCCAATCCCAATCCATCTTAGTATTCTCACAGGCAGTAAATATATTGATATATAACATTACATTCCAACAGTAACTAAATCTTTTCACTTTAGATTCAAAGCAGAATGTAAAAATGGACTCTATATAATTTAAACACACACAGTGTGGCCGCTATGGGTGGTGGTCGCTCTGGTCAGTGAGGTCGTTGTAGCAGGGCAGTTTCTGGAATTTGACGAGCATTTCGGGCCTTAGCGTCCCTGCGGCCCGGTCCTCGACCAGGCCTACTTTTTTGTTACCCCCATGAAGCAGCCCGTAGCAGCTGTCTAACTCCCAGGTACCTGTTTAATCAAAGTGAAAGAAACTCTGCCTATTTGTTTCCGCCTGGGATAGAACCAGGAACCTTAGGACTACGAATGCCGAGCGCTGTTCACTCAGCCAGGCTGATACCACCTGATCACCTGATCAACCTGATACCACCTGATTCACCTGATCAACCAGGCTGATACCTGATCAACCAGGCTGTGACTCATACGTCAGGCTGCGAGCAGCCGCGTCTAACAGCCTGGTTGATCAGTCCAGCAACCAGGAGGCCTGGTCGACGACCGGGCCGCGGGGACACTAAGCCCCGGAAGCACCTCAAGGTAGCCTCAAGGTAGGTAGCCATCAGGCCCCCACAACCTTAAGTAAACAAACCCAGGATATTGAGGATGATCTCCATTAGCCCGAAAATGGATACAAATTGAGCCGCTTAAATTTCACTAAATTACCCTAATTTGAACGCTTCTGGGGCCAGTTTCCAATTACAATTGCATAAGTGTGAGGACAGGTGGTAGTTGTGGTAGCTGGTGGTGGTGGTTGGTAGTGGTGGTGGGTCGTAAGTGTGGTGGCTGGTAGTGGTGGTGGGTCGTAAGTGTGGTGGCTGGTAGTGGTGGTGGGTCGTAAGTGTGGTGGCTGGTAGTGGTGGTGGGTCGTAAGTGTGGTGGCTGGTAGTGGTGGTGGGTCGTAAGTATGGTGGCTGGTAGTGGTGGTGGGTCGTAAGTGTGGTGGCTGGTAGTGGTGGTGGGTCGTAAGTATGGTGGCTGGTAGTGGTGGTGGGTCGTAAGTGTGGTGGCTGGTAGTGGTGGTGGGTCGTAAGTATGGTGGCTGGTAGTGGTGGTGGGTCGTAAGTGTGGTGGCTGGTAGTGGTGGTGGCTGGTAGTGGTGGTGGGTCGTAAGTATGGTGGCTGGTAGTGGTGGTGGGTCGTAAGTGTGGTGGCTGGTAGTGGTGGTGGGTAGTGGTATGGTGGCTGGTAGTGGTGATTATGGCCATTATAACAATTTATACTTAATAGTGTCTACGGAAAGACTGAGCTCTAGCTCTTAAGACCCCGCCTACGCTAGTGTTATTGTACCTGTTGTGTTACAATTCACTAACACGTGGAACATACAAACCACATTTAGCCCAGAGTCCGGACTGAGTTTCACCGCCATATTTGTTGATATCTTTGACTTGCGAGTTGACTGGAGGGGTTAGGCAGAGGGCAGCACTGAACACAACATAAATGGCAATCATTAACTCATCAAATTTATGGATATATTGTGCTGCGGGTTGAAGACATCAACAGCCACCATTACCGGCCCTGATAAGCATCTGGGGCACGAACCCTGCACACAAAACACGTTGAAATCGTGACTGGATTGAAGCCTCCACCGCCATCTCCAAACATGTTGATGTTCGTTTTCTTTTGACCATTACGAAACTGTGTATCAGTTGATGTTTTCTGGCGAAGTGCTAGGGGCTTGCTTCCCCTTTGCCGTGGATCGGCCTACGACGTGTTGATGCTCGTTTTCTTTTGATTACGAAACTGTATATCAGTTGATGTTTTCTGGGGAAGTGCTAGGGGCTTGCTCCACCTTTGCCGCGGATCGGCCCGGTATTGAAATACTGCAGTTCTGGGTTAAGCGAGGTGTGATGGCAAGAAGAGGAACGGGGCGTCTGGCTGGTTATCGGGGCAGAAACAATAGGGAAGGAGTGGCTGGATTGATCGTGACTTTGTGTTATCACAGGGAAGAGGGAGGGAGAAAAAGATAGCTTCATGACTCGCCATTCAATAGCCCAATAGCCTCCGTGACGCTATAAACCCGCCTACACCCGTCGTGTTGCATGTATGAATGATAAACGCAAGAAGGAAAAGAAGACGGAGAAGCCTCACTGCGAATGAATGGCCTGCCTTCAAGGCCTGAAACCGGCTCCCATTCATCACCCACTTGGAGCCGGACAAAGCCGGCCCATGCACACTGATTCAACTAGTCCCACCATATTAGGGAAATCATCATCCCTTCCCCCACCATGACCCCAGTTAGGGGTCATGACCTGGCTGGCTGGCTCGACGGTATCCCGTTCTACAAGCCATTCTGCTTGTTCGCAGTTCGTGTCTGCTTGTCCGCCCACGCCATATGGCTTGTTAAGGCCGGGTGTTATGAATTGGCGTCTCCTGGGTTCCTTCGCCGGCATGTGTGATGGGAATTGTTTATTCGGTCGTAGTCCGCAGAGCTGATGTGATGAATCTCGGTCTTCCTTGAGTGGACAATAGTCTGTTGTTGTTGTTGTTTTAGATTCAGCTACTTGGGACAAAAAGTTGCAAGTAGCACGGGCTATGGTGAGCCCGTAGTGGACTTGGTACAGCAGCAGCGGGGCTGTAACTGCGTCTCTCTATTGTCGTGGTCAGAGCTGTACTTAAAGGGTGGGTGCGGTGCACGCAAAAGAGTGCGTAAGTTGCACTCGAAAGGGGTACTGAGATGCACGCAAGGGGGGGGGGGTAAGGTGCACTCAAGAGGTGACTGAGGTGCAGTAAAGAGGATGAGTGAGAGGGACAGACCTGAGAGGTGCCAGCCTGCATCAGGTGCCAGAGTGCCATTGCATTCTGGCACTTGCCTGTAGACCAAAAAGCCGCTGTTTGTGGTTTTGTATATTGACCCCTACAGACGAGGCCATTCGATAACGCTAATCACCATATATACAGTGGCCTCCATGGAGAAGGATGTAATGCCCCTAAGCGAAAAATCTTCTTATTGGTTATTGGGCAATTAAGCTTACAGTGGGATTCAAGTGTTCTTACATTGACGATAAACTATCGTTACGGTCCGAGGGGAGAGTAGAGAGGGAACTGTCAGGGGGAAAGTGCCAAACCATTACGACTATATAGCACTTCGAAGGGATCAGGATAAGGATTTGGGATGGAACGGGGGGGGGGGGGAGGAATGGTGCCCAACATACTTAGACGGTCGGGGATTGAACGCCGACCTGTATGAAGCGAGACTGTCACTCTACCGTCCAGCACAAGTGGTTGGACTTCTCCTTGTTCTGTTGTGAAGACCTGGAATCTCTTGTTGAGTTCTGTATTTGTCCACACTCACCTGTTGTTCTTTCACTGACGTTTTCCTCCTGATTTGGCTGTGTATAACAGTTTTGGTTGGGTCCTGGCTTTATGTGCTATGTCGTTCTCATTCTGCCTCTCCGCTTCTCTTCTCACACTGAGGTACTGATTTCTGGCCCTCGGGTATCTCTCTCTTCTCTCTGGTGTTCTTGAAACAAGACATCAACCCGCTTGTGATTGGCTGCCTGAAACAAGGGGAAACTGAATACATATTGATGATGAGAGAGGAGAGTAGTGAGAAAGATCTGGGGATTGATATCACACCAAACGTGTCTCTTGAAACCATCATCAAAATGATATCATCAGCGGCGTATGCCATGTTGGCCAAGCTGTCTTTAAAATTTGTGTAAGGAATCATTCGGAACCTTGTGTACCACATACGTCAGACTAATCCTGGGTATGCAGCTCCATAGTGCGCTACACGTGTAGTCAAACACAACATGAAATTAGAAAAATTGTCGATATATGCCATTAGACTAGTCCCGGAGCTGAGAGGTACGATTAGCGAAGAAATGCTATTGCAATAAAACCTGACGTCAGTGGAAGACAGAAGAGTTAGGCAAGACATAATATACAATCTTCAAGATTCTCAGAGGAATTAACAGAGTAGATAAAAAACATTAAAGTTTGTGCATTAGAACATTAGAAGGTAGAAACATAGAGCCCAAATGAGCCACAGAGACACTACAAAAAAATTAGTGTCAGAGTAATTAGTAAATAGAATGCAATAGGAAGTGATGTGGTGGAGACTGACTCTATGCACACTTTCAATTATAGACCTGATAGAGGGATCACAGAGCCAAGAAGCTCATAGAACCTGTACATCAGTTCATTGACAGTTGAGACGTAGGGGAAAAGAGCCGAAGCTCAACCCCCCAACGTAAGCACAACTAGGTGAGTACGCACAAATCTCTTGCAAGGAAAGAAAAGAAAGGAAATATTGCCACAAGAAAGTCGCTGCAAATTTCCGTCAGCTCGACAACTCGCCACCAACTCTTGCAACACTACTTGGCAACGGCTGCAACTGTTGGGGGATGACCTGTCCCACTACACCCCCTCCACACCACCCCACCCCCTCCACCATCCCAACCGCTCCACAGCACCTCCCCACCATCCCAACCCCTCCACAGCACCTCCCCCACCACCATCCCACCCCCTCCACAGCACCTCCCCACTATCCCACCCCCTCCACAGCACCTCCCCCACCATCCCAACCCCTCCACAGCACCTCCCCCACCATCCCAACCCCTCCACAGCACCTCCCCCACCATCCCAACCCCTTTACAGCACCTCCCCCACCATCCCAACCCCTCCACAGCACCTCCCCCACCACCATCCCACCCCCTCCACAGCACCCTCCCACCACCATCACACCCCCTCCACAGCACCTCCCCACCATCCCACCCCCTCCAAACCACACCCCCCACCACCATCCCACCCCCTCCACAGCACCCCCCCTCACCACCATCCCACCCCCTCCACAGCACCCTCCCACCACCATCCCCCCCCTCCAAACCACACCCCCCCACCACCATCCCACCCCCTCCACAGCACCTCCCCACTATCCCACCCCCTCCACAGCACCTCCACACCATCCCACCCCCTCCACAGCACCTCCCCACTATCCCACCCCCTCCACAGCACCTCCACACCATCCCACCCCCTCCACAGCACCACCCCACCACCATCCCACCCCCTCCACAGCACCTCCACACCATCCCACCCCCTCCACAGCACTCCCCCCCACCACCATCCCACCCCCTCCACAGCACCCCCCTCACCACCATCCCACCCCCTCCACAGCACCTCCACAGCACCTCCACAGCACCCCCCCCCCCCCACCATCCCAACCCCACCTTCCTCCCCACAGCACCAACCCCACACATATGATAGAGCCCAGGAGGCTCAGGAATCTGTACACCAGTTGATTGACAGTTGAGAGGCGGGACCAAAGAGCCAGAGCTCAACCCCCGCAAGCACAAATAGGTGAGTACACACACATCCCCAAGCAATGCCCAACATGCTCACGAAGATTCACGAAGACCAGATTCACGAAGTAGTTACGCAAGCACTTACGAACCTGTCCATCTTTTCTCAATCTTTGGCGGCTTTGTTTACAATTATTAAACAGTTAATGAGCTCCGAAGCACCAGGAGGCTGTTTATAACAATAACAACAGTTGATTGGCAAGTTTTCATGCTTGTAAACTGTTTAATAAATTGCATTTCTCTGTAATTATTACGGCAGTTTACTGGGTCGACTTTAAATAATGACCTGCACGAAGCGACGGACTTGGTTCATGCAGGTCGGCGTTCAATCCCCGACCTGCATAAGTGGTTGGGCACCATTCCTTTCCCCCCCGTCCCATCCCAAATCATTATCCTGACACCTTCCCAGTTTTTTTATTATTATTTTCTACCACAGACGTGGCCACACATTAACAATGCTAACCAGCATATAATCGTAATGGCTTGGCGCTCCCCCCCCCCTGATTATATTTTTATAATTTTTTTCGCAAGAAAATTAATAAATAAAAAACACTAAATTATTGCTAACGGTAAAACTTAACACTTAATAAAGTTTTCGCAATTACAAATGATAAATATATAAATAAAATCCACCCAAGGCATCAAAATAGTTAAATTAACACGTAAAACGCCAACAGCTGCTAACGTGATTTACAAAACACATTATTAGTTTGTAGTATTTTATTAAACTCAAAATATACCAATAACCGCGATGACATGAGAGTATAGAAAAGTCGAAGACCACTTTTTCAATCACTTTGGCAGAAAATTGTTCAGTGTACTAAACATACCTTAAATATTCCTGCGAATATTCCAACCAAGCCTCTGGTTGGTCCACTAACTGCTAGTTACTCCAGGTGATTACCTTAAGGAGGAAGGAGGAGAGGTCGTCCCAAGTTAACGTTCCACCTACAAATAAAATCAAACGCTACACATTTTTCTCTTTAAATCATTAAAACCCAACCGGTTTGGGTATTAAATTCCATCGGAACTAACACTAAAATATATTCAAAATGTAATAGATTCTTTACCCTCACGAATAATGCATTGTCTAATTCAGAAAGCACAAAATCTGTACTTTGATATGTAGATGATTTGATATATTATGTGAAATTAAATATGCAAATGTTCGTAGCTTATATTATGTAAATTGTCTGCATATAATCATGTCAGACATCGTGATTTATGCAAATGATCTTCAGAATCTTCAGGAAGGAAATGTTTAAAATATTTGTCAAAAAAAAGATATTACATTGTCACAAATTAAATTATTGCAAATCTCCCTGTGAACATTATTCGATATATATATATATATATATATATATATATATATATATATATATATATATATGTCGTACCTAGTAGCCAGAACGCACTTCTCAGCCTACTATGCAAGGCCCGATTTGCCTAATAAGCCAAGTTTTCATGAATTAATTGTTTTTCGACTACCTAACCTACCTAACCTAACCTAACCTAACTTTTTCGGCAACCTAACCTAACCTAACCTATAAAGATAGGTTAGGTTAGGTTAGGTAGGGTTGGTTAGGTTCGGTCATATATCTACGTCAATTTTAACTGCAATAAATAAAAATTGACCTCATACATAATGAAATGGGTAGCTTTATCATTTAATAAGCAAAAAATTAGAGAAAATATATAAATTCATGAAAACTTGGCTTATTAGGCAAATCGGGCCTTGCATAGTAGGCTGAGAAGTGCGTTCTGGCTATTAGGTACGACATATATATATATATATATATATATATATATATATATATATATATATATATATATATATATATATATATATATATATATATATGCTCACACACATATTTTATTCCATAAATGTGACGATTTCTCTACGATAGAAAGATATATATAGTCAGATTTAGACATTACAATATATACATGAATTACAAGTCCACAATTGCATTAACATTTCATTCACATGGACCATTCGGGGACTGAACTCGGACCTGTAGAATATGAAGCCGCTGCCCATATCAACCAGACCAGGATGTTTACAATGAAGATTATCATCATAAAGTGACTGGTACTCGGTGTGAGGCACCTGGAATATACCTGAAGAGTATTTCGAGAGTTCTCCTACTCCCCGAGCCTAGCCTCGCTTGTGATATAACTTGGATCAACCGGCTTGTGTGTGCTGGCACTCCATCTTTCCCTTCATGGTTTGACCCCTTGGCTGGGACCCCATCACTAAATATGGAGGTAATCCACTCCCATCTCATTTAAATTTTACATCCACCATAACGTGAGTAATAATATATGTACTCAGATCATCGGGGAATTGAACTCGAGCCTGTAAAGTACACGCTAATTACCATAAATACACTAAACACCAGTTGGACCATGAAGATGTTTGACCTTTTCTGGCAAGACCTCCCTCCAGAGGTCACCGGAATCCCCCGCCAGATGGCTACAAGATACGCCTCGAACCTGGGTCAGTAAATCGCAAACTTCGCGGTCGTTGGGCGCGGGGAACAGCAGTGCAACGTTTTTGTTTTCACCCCCGACCAAAAGAGAGATACACAGGAGCGACCATCCGTCGTGGGGTGGGGGACAGTTTTCTGGCAACTTTTCTCGTCAAAGACACATGGGGGAACCATTGTTTGGCTGGACTTCGGAGGGACGGGGAATGACTCCAGGGCGATAACTAGGAATTTATATCGTAGGAGCTCTGAAGGCCTCGTAGATAGAGAAAGGGGGGGGGGTGGGGGTGGAGGGGGGAAGGGAGGTGTATGAGGTCATGAGGCAGGTGTGTGAGAGGTCATGAGAGATGAGGCAGGTGTGTGAGAGGTCATGAGAGATGAGGCAGGTGTGTGAGAGGTCATGAGAGATGAGGCAGGTGTGTGAGAGGTCATGAGAGATGAGGCAGGTGTGTGAGAAGTCATGAGAGATGAGGCAGGTGTGTGAGAGGTCATGAGAGATGAGGCAGAATGAGGAAAACTTCAAACAAACACCAACTCACAGAACAAATCCACAAGGGCCGTGCCAAAGGTTCGAACTTACCGACCCACAGGCCCCCCAAAAATTAAATATAGGCCTACTGCAACTAAAACAAGCGAGGAACGCATCAGCTAGAACATCACGTGAATCAGTAGACATTGAAACGTCTTTAAGAGTCCCTCGTTCGATGTCTGAAGAACCTCATTAAACGAGTATGTAGAACCTCGTTGAACATTTGAGAGAAAAATATATGCAGAATGAGAAGAGAATCTCGTTGAACGTGATAAATGTTTCAAGAGTTCTGTCCAAACTATTCCAAGAATGAAATATTAGAACGTTAAAATGCTGTGAATGTACCAAGTTTATTTTTCTTTGGCGAGCTGACGTGAGGCAGAGAGAGAGAGAGAGAGAGAGAGAGAGAGAGAGAGAGAGAGAGAGAGAGAGAGAGAGAGCATAATTAAATGTGAACGTTTTCGCAATTTTGTTCCTGATTGTGTGTAAATCTGTTACGAATAAGTAAATTAACCTCTCTCTCTCTCTCTCTCTCTCTCTCTCTCTCTCTCTCTCTCTCTCTCTCTCTCTCTCTCTCTCTCTCTCTCTCTCACTCACTCTCACTCTCACTCTCACTCTCACTCTCTCTCACACCCATTTTTTTTTACCTTTGTTCCTGTAGCGCTGTGTGTACCCCTTAGTTTCTACTGATTAAAGGCTTCAGTAGAGGCTTCTGAAACACCCCCTGAAGCCAAGGAACAAACGTCTCCATTACCTCTACTGAAACAGTAGAATACGTGAGAAAGTGGCTGTATGAGGGATCCATACACCGGCTGTATTTCGCATTAAAATACAAAAATGTTAAGCCACTTACAAAAACAAAAAAAAAATGAGTATGAAATGAGTATAGAAGTTTCGTGTGGATATCATACGATACCTGGAATGAGGGGAAGGTATCGTGTGTGTGTGTGTGTGTGTGTATGTGTGTGTGTGTGTGTGTGTGTGTGTGTGTGTGTGTGTGTGTGTGTGTGTGTGTGTGTGTGTGTGTGTGTGTGAAAGGTTCTGAGAGGGGACACTGGGTGATACAGAGGCCCGTCACTATACCGAGAAAAAGAGGGGAGAGGGAGTGGGCGCTGGAAATGCCACCGCTTCGTGGAACTGATGCCATGAGAGGGGAAGAGGATTAGGCGGGAAAAAGAATGCTGGAGAGGCCCCGTCTCTGTGATTGACAGGGGTAGAGAGGTGAGATTGAGTGTGGTGGGCAGCTGGGTGACAGGACGGATGGCAGCCAAGCAGTAGGTGTATATAGGCAGGCCACTGTGCTAACCAGATTACGGGCTCGCCATAGCCCGTGCTACATGGATATTTCATTCTGAGAAGCTAAATCTAAAACAACAACAGCCAATCAGATATGACAGGGGGACGAAGTGTGTCCATGACTTGATAAAGGTTTACTTGAAACTGCTGTATGAGGGATTGTATTAATATTGTATTGTTGGTGGTGATGAGTGTATTATTGTATTGATTAACGCATACAACAGTTGGCACTTCATGCAGCTGGTCGAACCAGTTGCCAAAGTGGCAAGTGATTGCAAGAGTCAAGTGACACCTGAACTTCGAGTGTCAGAACATGCTTCAAGGGTCAGGTGACCCTTGAAGGTGTCAGGTGACCCTACGACTGACCACCACCAAGTCTACGACTGCCCACTCCAAGTCTACGACTCACCACCACCAAGTCTACGACTCACCACCACCAAGTCTACGACTCACCACCACCAAGTCTACGACTCACCACCACCAAGTCTACGACTCACCACCACCAAGTCTACGACTCACCACTCCAAGTGTACGACTCACCACCACCAAGTCTACGACTCACCACCACCAAGTCTACGACTGACCACCACCAAGTCTACGACTGACCACCACCAAGTCTACGACTGACCACCACCAAGTCTACGACTGCCTGCGATTCACTAACCCTCCCAAGAGCTGGGTATATATATGCACCCGCCTCAATGCACTCTATTGACTGGATGCATATTGGTGTATTGTGTTTGTTGGCAGCCGTGTTTGTTTACTGCCGCTGTGTTTGTTCACTCATACACGATCCGTGTTGACTCTGCTGTTGTGTGGCAAATGGAGTAAAAATGTTTTCAGATTCAAATGCTACAGTGTGTGTGTGTGCTTATGAACGGTGCTGTAACTGGGAGCTGTTACCACGTGTGTGTGTGTGTGTGTGTGTGGGGGGGGGGAGGGGGTGTGTGTGTGTGTGTGTGTGTGTGTGTGTGTACTCACCTAATTGTACTCACCTAATTGTGCTTGCGGGGGTTGAGCTCTGGCTTTTTGGTCCCGCCTCTCAACCGTCAATCAACTGGTGTACAGATTCCTGAGCCTATTGGGCTCTATCATATCTACATTTGAAACTGTGTATGGAGTCAGCCTCCACCACATCACTTCCTAATGCATTCCATTTACTAACTACTCTGACACTGAAAAAGTTCTTTCTAACGTCTCTGTGGCTCATTTGGGTACTCAGCTTCCACCTGTGTCCCCTTGTTCGCGTCCCACCAGTGTTGAATGTGTGTGTGTGTGTGTGTGTGTGTGTGTGTGTGTGTGTGTGTGTGTGTGTGTGTGTGTGTGTGTGTGTGTGTGTGTGTGTGTGTGACATGAGGAAGTAGATCGACCCATAGCCTCGGAGAAAAGCACACACAAAGGATTGTAGGGGATTTGCAGGCCTCTCCGAATGCGTTTTCCATGTTTCTTTGGGGATTATCATCCGCTCCTTTCTATATTGTGTTTTGCTTTATTTGAAATTGTAAAGGTTACAAGTGTTCGGATGTGTTCGGGTCCTTTGCTTCCAGACTCGACCCGAAGGAAACAGCAGGCATTCCCCCTCTGGATCGCCACACTGAGGCGCTCAAACAGGAAACTGGCAGCTCCTAGGTTTCTGGTGGTTTCAAAAAGCTTGGAATGCTGTTCTCGAAGAAAGCTGAAGGCATCTTAACCCAGGAGAGGCAAATGTCTCAGACGTTATGGGAACAAAAAGGGGTTCTGCCCTTCCAGAATAATGAAAAAAAAAATCCCTGCCAATGTTGGGCAGGGAATAATGTCATTTGCGTATTCGAACAAAAGTATTTCTCGAAACTTCTTTTTAAGGTGATTAGGATACTATTTATATGTATGTTTGTGTTAAGTTAACTGGTTACTATTACTACAAGTACTGTTGATACCGTTAACTACTTTTTCTACTAACAACTATTCTATCTTCCCAACAATAACTTCTACTACCGTTTCTATTACCACATCTACTCTTTGTTATTGCTATTATTACCACTATTCCTATTTAGACAATTATTTCTGCAACTAATAATAATTATATTTTACACACAGAAATCATAATAGCGTGATGGATCAAATGAACCAATCCACAAAGGGCCGTGATGAGGCTCGAACCCTCATCACGGCCCTTGTGGATTTGTTTAATAATATTTTATTTACAAGAAGGAACAGTGGGTTGAATGAGATTACATTAGAATGATGGTTTTACATTGTTACAAAGCCACTAACATGCATGGCGGTGTTGTCCTCAAAGGCTAATAGTTTTGGGCTAGTTATTGCAAATTTTGCAGTGATTTGCAAGTGGCAGGAGTCGTGTCAGCAGGTGAAGGGCACAGTGTCTCCTGGTCACGAGGGGGGGGGGGAAGAGGGGGCTGTGTAATTATTTATGTAGCCTTAAGAAGGATGAATGATCGTCAAGATGAGATAAAAAAGGGTTGTGGCTGTACGTCTTATTCTTGTCCTCCTCCTCCTCTGGCTTCGTCTCTCTCTCTGTCTGTCTAGGGTTTCCTGGACATCCTTCGGTTGATATTTCCCTCGAATCTCACCCTTCGTTAACGCGATATTCGTCTGACGTTATAACTGCATCTGGTGCTATTAGGGGACATTGATGTTCTTTTGTTTTTGTAATGTAGAGAGATGATTAGTGGAGGTGGAGGCTCTAGGAGTGGCGAGTGTGTGCAGGTAGTCACAGCACTTCCTGCCACGATACGAGTTTGGTTCGTTTCATTTATATTTACTGACGAGGTAGTGACCTTAAAGAGGACAGTAACCAGGCGATCGAGTTCAACATTAATACTCAGTTGAGAGAGGAAGTGAAGACGTACCATCATGGTAGACCAATATCACTTCTGGTGTGTAGTTTGGTCATCACACCAACCCACCAACAACCCACCAACAACCCACCAACAACCCACCAACAACCCAACTAACCAATCAACTAACTTCAATCGCTGCGAGTACAGGCTTCCGTGAAAGGTGCGGGGCCCCCGAGTTACGTCCAAGAAAATGCATAAATAAGTTCTAAAGCCCAGTAAAGCCCCATTTGCGGGCCCTCGGGGTGCTCACAACATTGGCATCATCAGCTACACGAATGAAAACTCCAAAGGCAGATCAAAAACTTAACCATTACCCCATCTAATAAAACTTTACTAGGAGTGGAAAGCAGTTAACTCGGGCAGGATACGTTCGGTAAACAAAGGCGATGCAGAGAATCCGGATGTGTCCATCCGGATTCCTCTTCTACTGCACCTTCCCCTTTAACTGTGGTGATGCCGACTAGTCGGGAAGTTTATTGAAGTGTCTTGTAGGCCTGGAACAGCTTCCAGGGCCTTGTTTCAGGCTCCCAACACCCTCGATGGTGGTGTTGAAGGGCGTAAATATATATATACTCAAGGTCTGGAGTAGAGGACCTTTCTCTGGCTCTCTGGGCTGGCGTTTACCACCACTCTCCCGCCCTCCAAAAAAGTCCCCTAAACTAAGACTCCCTGAATTACATTTTGCTTCAGTGCCTGTTGCATCTATGCTTCAGAATGGCTCATTGTTCCCCGTCTGATTATTGGACTGAGTCGCAAATATCAGACTCGTGTTTCAGCAATATGTGACAATAATCCAGCTGCTTGTATGTCGGGTATAGTGGCAAGAGAATGGCTTTCCAAAATTTGTGCACTCTCCAATTTGCTCTCGCGTATTTGTGTCTGCGAGATAGAGCATTAACTCTTAGACTCCAGCGTTCTAGCCGGCGGTTGTCTAAAGCAGACTCCTGGCTTATTTGCGTGTCATATCTGCTTTTACAATTATGATTGTGGCTTGGCTTTTGCAACTTATTGACCAGACCACACACTAGAAGGTGAAGGGACGACGACGCTTCGGTCTGTCCTGGACCATTCTCAAGTCGATTGTCGACTTGAGAATGGTGAGGACTGTGGTGAGCCCGTAACTTACCTGGCACAGGAGCGGGGCAAGTAGCACGGGCTATGGTGAGCCCGTAGTGCTTTCACACAGGAGCGATGCTTTCCATACTTTTTTTGTCTTGCTCTTATCTTCCTCTTAAGATGTCCGTCTGCTCACTTCTCTCTTGCCTTGCCTCCGTCTCAGGACACAGTTACAGCACCGCTCATGTGCCAGGTAAGTCCACTACGGGCTCACCATAGCCCGTGCTACTTGCCCCGCTCCTGTGCCAGGTAAGTCCACTACGGGCTCACCATAGCCCGTGCTACTTGCCCCGCTCCTGTACCAGGTAAGTCCACTACGGGCTCACCATAGCCCGTGCTACTTGGAACCTTTTGTTCCCAGTAGCTGAATCTTAAACAACAACAACCTCGTCTCATCACAATCGACTTGAGGAATGGTCCAGGACGGACCGAAACGTCGTCGTCCCTTCACTTTCTAGTGTGTGGTCTGGCCAACATGAGAGAAGACGTACCGGAGGAGCGTGTAATATAGTTAATCGATCCTCTCTCGTACATTCAACAATAACTTTGTTGGTCACGACTTGAACCTAACTTGCACCTTCGTTGGAGCTGTCCCTGCCTTGGTCCCTGGTCCGTTAGTGGTCCCTCTGACCCTTCAGTGGTTCCCTGGCTCTTCAGGGGACCATTCAGGGGACCATTCAGGGGACCATTCAGGGGACCATTAGCTTTCCCTAAACCTACAATGACCAATGACTATCACAACACTCTGAGCTTCCTCTGTTTATACAATTATAACATTCAGAACCTTATATATATGCATTTTACAGCAGTATTTTATGTGTAAATATGACAACATATTGTCATCATATGTGTTGCAGTTTAATTAAATATACATAATTACAGCACAGGCCATTAGCACTCAGTGGGCCGTTACTACACACTATCAGTAGGGTGGGAATGTTAACACAACTCTAGAGTTAAAACTAACAGCTTGGCTCATTTGGTAATGTTGGGAGAGAGAGGCCAGAGGTCATTGCCTGTTTGCTGAAGGTCTGCTGCTATCAGAGGTCATCCCACACTATCACTGTTGGGGTCTGCTGCTATCAGAGGTCATCCCTCAGTATAAGTGCTGGGGTCTGCTGCTATCAGAGGTCATCCTACACTATCACTGTTGGGGTCTGCTGCTATCAGAGGTCATCCTACACTATCACTGTTGGGGTCTGCTGCTATCAGAGGTCATCCCTCAGTATAACTGCTGGGGTCTGCTGCTATCAGAGGTCATCCCTCAGTATAACTGCTGGGGTCTGCTGCTATCAGAGGTCATCCCACACTATCACTGCTAGTGTCTGCTGCTATCAGAGGTCATCCTACACTATCACTGCTGGAGGT